GAATAATAAGGAATCCTGAAGACTGTCCTGTTTGTTTGTTTGTTTTTTGTTTTTTTTTGTTTTAGGTTGTTCTGTTACATTGTAGTATGTAGATGGTCATTGTATATGTCTTAATGGAAAAAAACAATAAAAACTTTTGAATATAAAAAAAAAACAGCGAAAGCTTCGGCGCTAGGCATCGGGGCATTTTGACAAGTACAAGTACTTGTCAAAATGCCCTGTATCGGGCCCGATTCCGATGCTAGCATCGGTATCGGGACATCCCTAATTAGGAAACAATGATTATTACCCATATTTTTGGTACAAAATATAAAAGACGGGGTCACGTCGGGTAAATAGACACCAAACATGTCAAGCTTTAAAATTGCGTGCACCCGCGAAATCGCAAAAAACCACCATACCCAAAATTGACCATAGGCGATGCTTTAAAAGCTTTTAGCACTCATCTGTTTAGTGTTATCAGTGATTGATGGCCCTAGAATTATTGCTCTCATTCCGACGTTCGCGACGATATGTAACATGTGCGGCGTAATGGGCGCAATCGTCGTTTTCGTGCGTATGCGCACCTGATGCCTGTTTGCATGCGTGTCTGTATGGGGGGGACTTTTAAAAAAAAAGTATTTTAAAATTCTTTTTTATATGTAACTTTAAATTTTTTTGGGGGGAAACTTTACATTTTTTCCCCCTATTTTTTTTCCATTCAACTTTATTGCTATCACATAGGGGGCTAAGAAAACCCCCCTATGTGATAGCAAAAGATGTGACAGCTCCTCTTTATGGAGACATCAGGGGTCTCCAAGACCCCTAATGTCACCTAGGACCACCCTGAAGAAGCTGATGAAGCAGAGATCTGCTTCATCAGCTTCTCTCCAGCATCTGAAGCTGGAGAGTGACACAAGAATGTGGAAGTGATGTAATATACATCACTTCCGCATTCTGACAGCAGAGAGGGGACCGGAGGGAGGTCGTGTACCGATCTCCCTCTGATCCCGTGACAGAAGCACTATGCTGGTTCTAGGCTCGCACCGGGCACAGCGGAGCCCAGGACCAGCATGACAGCGGGAGGGGGGGAGTCGCAGAGAGGGGGCGCACATACAGGGACCTCATACAAGCGATCCACCGGCTCTATAGCCGGTGGATCTCTTGTATGTTAACAGGCATCGCTGGCTGTTTTAAAAAATCGGGCATTTCCCGCTCACGCGCGCCACATGGCTGAGCGGACGTCTAAAGACGCCCGCTCATATCTAGAGAGCTCCTGGCCGGCCGTTTTTTTACAATGGCCTGCCGGGAAGTGGTTAATGGTACTTTTGGGTGGATTGGTCCTTTAAAATGGACCTTTACCCCCTTTGACTAGAAATCACATCAGCATACAGCTTTGCATGCTAATTTAAAATCATCTTCCATTCATCTTCCAAACAAATATATTTTTATTTTACTTAGAATTTCTTTTTTTTTTACTTCCTGGTTCACTTTTGCATAAATGATGTGCATAAACCATGTGAGGGAAAGTGCAGGGTTACCTGAGCAGTCTTCCAGCAACTTGCTTCTGAGATCGGGCCTGTCTGTCTGCGGGTTCCCCCCCCACGCCTGCTCCTCCTCTTTCTTCTCCTCCCTGTGCCGATCGTGGATGTGGGTGGGCGGTGAGCGTGAGGCGGGGAGGAGGTGCGGCATGTGGATGCGGGCAGGCGGGTCTGGCAGCGACGAGCATGATGCAGGGAGGAGGTGCGGCGTGTGTGGAGCCGTGAACAGGGACAACTAATCGAAAGCCGATTAATGGATGATTGAAAACGTTGACAGTTTTTTCAATAATCGATTATAATCAACTTAGTCGATTAGTTGTTGCAGCCCTAGTTTACTAACACCACTCCAGTAGCCCATGTGCCCCCCCCCCTCTATTCCAGCGCTGAATGAGTGTCGGATACCTGTGTCATCCCCCCCAAAGCAAAATGTGGTTCCTTTATACAACCCCTATGTTACCTTTTAGTCCTGTAGTGACGTAGCACTTGGAGGAAGGGGCCACGGCATGCGGCAAGGGACACAGACACTTTCGAAGGCGCTAACTGAGGCTGCAGCTCTGGGCATAAGGCCCCGTTCACATATAGCGAATTGTCGCGCGATTTCCGCCGCGATATCGCGCATTTTTGCTGTCTTAACTCCATGTCGCTCGTCGCGGTCGCAAGTCGCTTCTACCGGACCCTTTTTTCGGCGGATTTTGCACGATTTTGCTTTTTTTCTATGGAGCTCGACGGAGAAGGTTGCGCTACCGTCGCCGGACCGTCGCTGAATTGTCGCTGGAACGTCGTCCCGAAAGTCGCGCTATCCCGGCTGCGGCAAAGGTATGTCGCTATATGTGAACGGGGCCTAAGTTCCACTGAAGAGGTGAGTATACTATCTCTTCTGTTACAGGGAGCAACCATTTTATTTTCTTTAGAGACCCGATAAGGTCTTTTGAGTATTACATTGGCTCATCAGGAAAGAGGTGAACTTAATTATAACACTGAAATAGGGAGACTAGCAGTCGTTTGTTAAGTTAAAGGAAACTTTTACTTAGAAATTATGGAGGCTTCCAATAATTGGAAGCCTCCATAATACTGTGCCTGTAATACTGATTTATTTCAGTAATGCTATTTGAGTCACAGACTCAGAGCAAGCAGTCAGATCAGATCTGATTTTGCTCTGACTTTACCTGTCACATGCTTGTTCTAGATCAGTGATTCATTGAAGCCAGAGATAACCAGTAAACTTCCAATTTCAAGGGGAGTTAAAAATATAATCCTCTTTATTACCTCGGTGCAGGTTTCCTTTAAAGGGGAGAAACAGGGTTGGCTCAGCTATAACCCCCCTCTCTGAAATCAACCACCCTGAGATGAAGTAGGTATTGGGGTGAGTCATTCTGCAAATGCCAATTCATTTCAATGAGAGTCTGAGTCAGGACCTCCCTTAACAACTAAATCATCTTAGTATTTCAGAGCTGGGTTGGACTCCTCATAACCTTCAACTCTCTCTTGAATGTTAATAAGGTGAGTGATGTAAATTACTCAACAGCACCACACATAAAAATGTACATGTGAAATATATTAAGAAAAATAGTTCCACTGTTCAAAGCTTGAAGTTTGAGTTATGTTTTTTGCATCTCTCACAATTGTCTTTTTTGTTCCATCAGCAGTCTGACAAAGGGGATTTGAGTACACTGAGTCTTCCTCCTAGTGCACTTCATGGAGGTTCTGAAGGAAACATTAGCCTGGAAGTCCCCGAAGGGGCACCAGATCCACAGCGCACTAAGGCAGCCATGGACCATCTACACCAAAAGATCCTTAAAATTACTGAACAGATAAAGATTGAACAAGAGGCTAGAGACGATAATGTGGCAGAGTATTTAAAGTTGGCCAATAATGCAGACCGACAACAGGCCTCTCGCATCAAACAGGTACTACTAACATGTATACACTGTATAACTCAATGCTTAAAAGAATGTATTTTGATCTCCTACTGCTGAGCTCTAGCTCTATTCAGAACACACATTCAGCTGAATAAGTCACAGAAGGTGCACACCTTTTCCCTGTCCTAGGTTCAACGTTAAATATATTCTTATGCTTTATTACATTTATATACACAGTGATACCACAGATACAAGTAGTTCTAAAATAATAGCAGGTAAGATTGTGGTTTATTACCAGTCTGAATAACCAACTAATGTTTTTACAGGGTTAAATTACTGCAGGTCACTAATTTTACCATGTATGATCAAAGATAAACTTTCTTAATCGTACAGTTTTGTACACAGGAAAAAGCTGCTGTGACAGCCATCATAAAATCCTCCCTGCAAGCCTCAGTTTTTTGTGCTTAGGTTTTGGATGTGCTGTCTCACTGAGAGAGGATTAGGTTATTCTTTAGATGCAATTGTTTCTTCACAATTCTTCTAGCAAGTTTCAGGTTGCTAGTTGTTTTATAGCCACTGTGGCTACTGTGTCTCAGCAGCTTTCCAGATCAGTGTACTCCTTGGCACAGCCATGGGGGACAGCCTGTAATGTTACTTTGGGCACTGGATCCAACGTGGGCCCTCACCTTGGCATTAGGGATGTTCAGATACCAGTTCAGATACCAGTGCCGATACTTGGCATTTTCATGAACTACCAGGGTTGCAGAGGTTGCAGCTGGGACCTAGCTCTGGCACTCCACCACTGTCCTGAAATCATTAGCCTGTATAGTTATAGAAAAACTGTCACATGACAATAAACATAAATGTATCAGTACTTGTATCTGTGAGTACTTGGACAAGTATCAGTATTTGTACTTGGAAAAATGGTGTCAGTGCATCACTTATACAGTTGTGTGAAAAAGTGCTGGCTCCCTTCCTGATTTTTCATTGTTTTGCACGTTTGTCACACTTTAATGTTTCAGATCATCAAACAAATTTAAATATTAGTCAAAGATAACACAAGTAAACACAACATTCAGTTTTTAAAGGAAGGTTTTTATTATTAAGGGAAAACAAAATCCAAACCCACATGGCCCTGTGTGAAAAAGTGTTTGCCCCCTAAACCTAATATCTGGTTGGCCCACCCTTAGCCGCAAGAACTGCAATCAAGCGTTTGCGATAACTTGCAATGAGTCTGTTACAGCGCTGTGCAGGAATTTTGGTCCACTCATCTTTGCAGAATTGTTGTAATTCAGCCAAATTGGAAGGTTTTTCGAGCATGAACTGCCTTTTTAAGGTCATGCCACAGCATCTCAATAGGATTCAGGTCAGGACTTTGACTAGGCCACTCCAAAGTCCTCATTTTGTTGTTCTCCAGCCATTCAGAGGTGGACTTGCTGGTGTGTTTTGGATCATTGTCCTGCTGCAGAACCCAAGTTTGCTTTAGCTTGAGGTCACGAACAGGTGGCCGCACATTATCCTTCAGGATTTTTTGGTAGACAGCAGAATTCATGGTTCCATTTATCACAGCAAGTCTTCCAGGTCCTGAAGCAGCAAAACAGACCCAGACCATCACACTATCACCACCATATTTTACTGTTGGTATGATGATCTTTTTCTGAAATGAGGTGTTACTCTTACGCCAGATGTAATGGGACACACACCTTCCAAAAAGTTCAACTTTTGTCTCGTCAGTCCACAGAGTATTTTCCCAAAAGTCTTGGGAATCATCAAGCTGTTTTCTGGCATAACGGAGACGAGCTTTTATGTTCTTTTTGCTCAGCAGCGATTTTCGTCTTGGTACTCTGCCATGCAGGCCATTTTTGCCCAGTCTCTTTCTTATGGTGGAGTCATGAACACTGACCTGAACTGAGGCCTGCAGTTCTTTTGTATGTTGTTGTGGGGTCTTTTCTGACCTCTTGGATGAGTCGTCGCTGCGCTCTTGCAGTAATTTTGGTTGGCCTCCCCCTCGTGGGAAGGTTCACCACTGTTCCATGTTTTCGCCATTTGTGGATAATGGCTCTCACTGTGGTTCGCTGGAGTCCCAAAGCTTTAGAAATGGCTTTATAACATTTTCCAGACTGATAGATCTCAATTACTTTCTTTCTCATTTGTTCCTGGATTTCTTTGTATCTCGGCATGATGTGTAGCTTTTAAGGATCTTTTGGTCTACTTCACTTTTGTCAGTCAAGTCTTATTTAAGTGATTTCCTGATTGCGAACAGGTGTGGCAGTAATCAGGCCTGGGTGTGGCTAGAGAAATTGAACTCAGGTGTGATAAACCAGAGTTAAGTTATGTTTTAACAGGGGGGGACGGGACACTTTTTTACACAGGGCCATGTGGGTTCGGATTTTGTTTTCCCTTAATAGTACAAACCTTCCTTTAAAAACTGTATGTTGTGTTATCTTTGACTAATATTTAAATTTGTTTGATGATCCGAAACATTAAAGTGTGACAAACGTGTAAAACAATGAAAAATCAGGAAGGGGGCCAACACTTTTTCACACAACTGTATTTATTTATTTAAAACAAATAATGCATTAAAATGGGGATGTACAAATCCCAGGAGCTCTGTATGCTCCTTAAAAATGACAGCTGTCTCCTAACTTTTGAATTTTTCTCTAGTCTAGTCCTGGAGCTGGAAAAGTATCTGTACATGTACTTGTACCGAGTACGGTACTTGGTATCTGAACATCCCTACTTGGCATGTAGTGCATCACATTGAGTTAGCCACAGGGTGCTGTACAGGTCCAGGGTTGTGATCCACCATTGCGGGGAAGCCGTATCCCTGAAGACCCCTTTGCCCCAAAGGGGTTTGCCGCCATCATAGGTAAAGCCAAGGTAGAAGCCTGGCCCCTGTACCACGCCTCTTAAGTCTTTAGGCAGCTGTGGTAAAAGGGGGTTGTCTATTCCACCCTCCCGGTTCTTCTCTGGTGGCCAGTGTGCTGCTTTAATTCCCCACTGCGAATTATAAGGCAGTTGCATCATTTTAAACAGTGTGTTTTGCGGGGGCGCTAGTGAGCAGCCGAACGACATGGACGCTTGTTTGCTCGGCTCCACACCACCCGGGCGTGCGACTACTTCAGTAGTGGTTGCCTTACCCCTATCCTGCACACCTGACCCCATATACCTCTGACCCGTGGTATACGCTATTGGCAAAAATCCAGCGGCTGCCCAGAAACAAGCAACAGCGACTCCGTCCAAACAGCACACTGTCTCCAAAATGGCGCCCACGCTGGGTAACCGCTCCTCCTCACAGGAACTGGTCGACTCGGTGGACAATTCCTTGAGCGACGGATTCCCTTCACAACCTCCGTCTGCACTCCAGGAGAGTGAGTGCAGAGATGCTGCGCTGCTTGATAAATTTAAATCACTTCTGCAAAGGGAGCTGAAGGCCGCAGCAGACAAGCTGGCTACTCAACTGTCAAGAGACATCAGGGAGCTGGGCTCCAGGATCTATGAGGTTGAATACAAGGTAGACGATATTATCACAGTAGTAGACTCTCATGAGCATGATCTGAGTACTGTTAAATCTGATCTCTCATTAACTCTGCTTAAACTGGAGGACTTAGAAAACAGAAATCAACGTGGTAATCTCCGCATTCGCGGAGTGTCTGAACATGTTGAAGACTTACAGGCCACAGTAGCAGCTATGTTCCAGGAGTTGCTCCCGGGATACCCGGTTGAGCGACTTGAACTTGATCGGTGCACTGCACTCTTGGCCCCAAGCGTGTGAATGGTCCTCTTCGTGACATTGTTTTGAAACCAACGTACTACAAACCAAATGAGGCAGTTATACAGACTGCTTGGAAAAAACGTTCTTTACGATTCCAGGACTATAACTACCAAACCTACGCCGACTTGGCGCCTCGTACACTTCAGCATCGGAAAGCTTTGAAACCCTTTCTCACCAGTCTTGTGAACCACGGCATCAAATATAAATGGGGATTTCCACTTAAAGTAAGCTGTCAGTTACATACTGTCATATATTTTATCATGAGTCATTTTTCAAGGCCTGCTTCACTGATGGTGAAACTTGCATTGAAATATTTATTACTAGCTGACAGCTACCCGCAATTTGTTCATAGCTTTATATACTCAAGCATGACGACCGCTAACTACTCTCCTACAATATCGTTGTGTTAACCTTCTGTTAAATGATTACTCTGATTACTCTGATGTTTTCTCTGTAATCCTAATACCATGAGGTCTCCCCTTTTTCCCCTTTCTCTCTGATCACCTCTCTCTCTTGACCCTTCTCTCCCGATCCCTTCTTTCTTTGCCCGTACTCTCCCGTCGCCTGTTCCCTATCCTGATTTTACAGTTGATGACTTTTAATATACCGATGCTTAATTGAGCCCTCCATGTCCGGGTGGAATGGGCACCCCTATGTTTATTGGAATACCGATGAGTATTTCCTCTTATTGCTCAGAAAATGTGCTGATATGGATTGCTGATATTTTTAGTTCCTGCTTTCCATGTTCTGTCCTGTTTCTGTTTTTCACCCGTTCCTTCTTTCCCCCTTGTTTCCTCCTGCAGCTTTGGATCTCTTTCCTATGTACCACTAGCATTTAGCTGACCCACCATGTCACATCCTTAATAATGCTTTTCACATACCCCGGTAACCATGGCGGCACCATCTCTTCAACTTATCTTCCACAATGTCCAAGGCTTAAACTCACCTCAAAACCGTAGACTCGCCTTCAACTACTTCTCCTCACAGCGGACCAACATTGTTTGTTTACAGGAAACAAAATTCTCTGCGTCATCTTGCCCTAAATATTTCCACAAAAAATATTCTTAGACGTTCCAAGCCACTTTCTGGGGAAAAAAGAGGGGCATCCTAATCGCCTTCCATAGAAATACTCCCTTCCTTTGTTCCCAAGAGATAGCTGACCCCACTGGTAGATATCTGCTGCTTCGGGGCACAATTTCTGATGTTGAGTTGACACTGGTCACTTATTATGCCCCTAACACACATCAGAACTGATTTTTCTCACCTACTATTT